ACATCAAAATCGTACGGAGAAGGCTATAGTGGCAGAGGTCGACTGCCTCGTGATCCGGCGGCGTCGTTGTCGCCCGTCCTGAAGACATCCCAGCGAATCCCCTACCCGACAAGAAAAAAGACCTGACTGACTCATTTATGGGATAGACGTGCTGAAGTCCGAGTGACTGTTGTGCTTTACCCTCATCGTCCGCCGGCCTCGCCTCTAGTAGGCCACACGTCCGAGAGCAGAGCCACTGGTAAAACTGCGATGGTGTATCAAATTGTTTGCCTGTTTTTTGCAGCTCTTGCATCGACCAAGGCAACCCAATATTCAATGTGGTTGGCAAATCGCAACAAAGGAGAAAGTTCGTACGGCCCAAGCGAACCGCCATTCGCAGGTCATTAAGCATCATAGACTCCGGTGCCAGCATAACCCAACGCATAATAGTCGTAGCCTCCGCCATTTCCTTGGACGAAAGATTTCCTAAACCCTGTTCATATAGACCGTATAGATCTGCGGGGAGCTCTCCTAGTGCCTGGCTCACGGAATCCGGCCCTCCGCCGCCCTCGATAACTTTGTTGAGCAGATTGGTCGCAAATTGTGCCCATAAGAAACTCCCACCAGCCCTCTCAGCAATCTTTTTCACAATGGCGGGCCGGTCCCCCAAACTGGCACTTAAACTAGACTGTACTAACACCGTGATATCTTCGAGGTTATGATTTTCGAGTTCTATCTGAGTTATATTCGCTGGAACTGGGTCGCTAACTGGCCGGCTGGCCAAACACACACTGTAATCAGAGTTCCGTGTCATTTGACAAAGGCAATACAAGAGTTCCTGGATGTACGCGTCGTCGCAGCTATCCTTCGCATCGACTAGGATAAATGTCCTTCTTGCTAATGCCTGGGGTTTATTTATGATATAGTCATCGAGAAAAAATCGAGTCAAATCGGCATCAGTGATGCTACCCTCACCTAAACCGGAAAGTCTTTGGCGAAGACCCACGTCCTTCACGAAGAGTTGAGAGAGGATAGAACGGATAGCCGTGGCAGATCGCATCGTTCCTAGCTTCGAATCTGGCACAAAGACTGGATCGGCACTTTCGCTTTCTGCGGTACAGTATATAACTGACGTTGTAGCAGGCTTCCATTGCTTTTGCATTTGGTTCCGGATATGTCGTAACTGAGTCGTCTTTCCCGAACCTAGCGCACCTGTCAGCCAGAGTATGTGTTCATTGCTACCGCCCCGTCGACGATACCAATCGCAAAATTCCCTTGTGCTACATATTCCCTTGCATGTTCCCAGGGAGCTCCCTGTGATGGATGGCTGCGAATCCTGGGGTTGGTGGTTGGTAAGTCGCTGCAAGCAGGCTATCATTCGTCAGCTTTTTGCGTATCAAGAATGGCAACAGCATCTTTGCGTACCTAACTCTGCCGCGGTGAGCACTTGTCGCTATTATTTCGTATTAGCCTTTTGTCCCATCAAATATTCAACGACGATGTGCTACCTTCGAATTTTCATCCCTAGCGATGTTTTGAAGGATACGTGACAGCGATATGAATCCTGAATCGCTCGCCGACTTGAACTGACACATTGTGCGGTGGTCTGCAGGCAAACTTTCTGCGCTTTCTTTTCCGTCGCCAAGCTTACACGACTCAGCACGGCCATTCTACGCAGATACGTGAGCTTATAACCAACGTTAGACTTGAAATAGCAGGACCTACGATTAACTTATTTGTGCTGCCCTGGCCTTCCTGATAGGACTTCACCACAAAGTTGAAATGGTACCACAGCCGAACAAATGCTTCTTGAGCCTCACCCCATCTGGGACTATTCACGCCGCATAGTGCAGACAATACCGAACTCTCTGTTTTTGTGTTTAGGGTCGCTTCTGCCATGGCTACTGCGGTAACTGCGAGTGGCTCATTCTCTATCGCTCGATGCGGACAACCGAAGAAAATGGCCGCAGCAGTAGAACCCAATATGTCCTGCTCGCTCTTCACGTTACTAAACTCGGCCTGGCGCAGTACCTACCCCAGCTATCAGTATCTCTACGCAAAGTTGGGTGTTCATTAACAGACCTCCTTCACGATGATGCCCCCAAGGGAATGCGCAATGAAAATCAACGGCCTTTGTTGCGCACCCGTACTATGTCGAAGGTCTCTGAGTTCCCGAAGGAGGTCGTTCACGTGAGAGAAGAGATCGGGTTGAGAGATGACCGGCATAGTGCCACTACGGAGGGTATGGTACCCCCAAGTGATGATACGGGCCTCCGGACAGGCAATAGGCAATAGGTCCCGAGGCCAGAATGGTAATGGCGGCGCATTCGACACATCCTGCCATGTATGACTCCACATTGCCATAGATCCTAAACTCAGCCGGCGCGTCTTATCGGCAGACCTATTTCTCTTGCGTAGGAGTTTCATCGACCCGCCACCCGCTACCGGGTCGGTCTTTGGTCGAGGAGGAGATGCCGATCGGCCATCGTGCTGCCAGCTCCTCACCGGATGTCCCCCAAACCCATGTACGAAAACAACGCTGAGAATGGATCATGAGTTCATGCATCTTCGAGAGCACATCGCGATAAAAAGAAGCTCAACATAAAAGAATAACAAGGAACACGCACTCAATAAGTGTGTCGTCGCTTTTTTCTGGCTGGTAGAGCACGTGAAGACCGACTGAGGGGATCCTGTCCTGGAGTGGACTCATGGCAGCGAATCACGGATGATCCCGCGCATCTATAAACAGACGTATCTCAGCGGAATATCACTCCGCCCTCAACTCAGTGCACCGACGCGATAAAAGTCAATAACAATGGCAAACAAACTCAGCGCGCTCCCGCCTGCTTATATCCGGGCCAGCATCAGGCAGTTGGTGCCTGATCTAATTGTCTGATTGAGCGAGCGATGGGACGTGATCTGGCAAATGCGAGACGTAGGTCTGCTAGCTGGCGGTGGGGGTCAGCGTTGTAATGCACATGCTTGCTTGCTGCTGGTAGGGAGGGGAGTTGCTGCAGCTCCAAATCACGACAGAAAGAGAGAAAAATAACAAAACAAGAAACCGGTCGTTCGCCTCGTCCCACGGTTTCAGTTCCGTTTCCCCTTCCCCTAGTCTGGCTCTTCCCCTCGCCCACACCCCAGACCAGCTCGTCCCATCCCATCTCCCCTCGTCGCGCGAGGCCCATTGAAATATTCAGTGCCGTGCCACCACCAACACTCCCATAGCCGGCCCGGCTGATTCGCCGCCCGCGCGCAATCAGGGTAAGCAGCATGTCACGACAAAAGCCTGGGCGATAGATAGACGGGCCACGACTTGTGCCTGGGGAATAATTAGCATTCTCTTCATTTACCATAGGTATAGTATCTTTAGTCTTGCGCTACCTTTTCTTCTCGCGTTGCGCTTTCGTCTCGTATTCATGTCTCTTGTGGGAGCACGGTGTGCAACGGGCCGGGCCGTGTGCTGGCTTCTACTCGCCCATTCTCCCGGCCTGCTCTAATTGCGGCTGAGGTAGTCTCGTATATTTGATAGGATTGTTCGACGCTTGTCTTATTTAACCCGCTGGTTTTCGCGTTCGTCCGTCGCGTCTCTACATCAATCGCTACAACTAATTCTTACTAAGAGTGAAATATCCGGGTATCTTTCGCGCCATTTAATCTACATAGGGACTTTCATAAGCTACGCGAAGGGCCACCATCCTGCGCGCGCTCACACAATAACCGCGGTCGCACGCGTTCTACGTCTTCAGAAATCGCTGCACTCTACTCTTCTGTCACAGGTAAAATCCCCAGCCTCGATAAATTGGCTATGTGTGAGTATCGTCATCCCCTAACCCACTCTTCCTCGCTTATTATTTCTTTTTCTCTTATCATGCAGCTACACTGCTTCACTATTCCTGGCAGCGAGGCCCTCGGGGAGACCTGCATATGTTAATATATCTATCTAGGCCTCCCTTAACCTTATAATAGGCCAAATAATCCACGTAAACCAGGTTTAGACCAGTATACTTGTGCCAACTTTAAAGTAGGTTGTGTTGTATGGTATTGTCTCACCTGGGCATACCGATTACGTAATTGGTAGATCATGGTGACTTACAGTGAGGGCATGTGAAAGATGTAAATCAAATACAGTTCTGTTTATCCACTACCGATGATTGAACCCGCTACTTAGGATATATCTATAGCGCGGATATAGATATTTCCTCTATACTCAACTCTCCTGTTGCTTGACAATCTATCTATCTAGTCTGACACTCTATCAAGCTCCCTGCAATTGGGGGTCTGTGCACATGGCGTTCAGGTGGCTTGCATCGTGGCTTGACGCTATCAGTGCGTTGTAATATATCATTCGTCTTTCTCTTTCTCCTTGCAAACAACACCGAACGTCGGCGTGATAATGCGATAGGGGTGCATTTGACGCGCGCCATCCACCTAGTCCACAGAAGTCGATTCTAGCCATCGGACCTCATAGCTAGCGTAGCCCTTCAGATTGAAGCAGATGTTTACATGCTATGAGAAGAGTGTGACCACCGCGGCGAGTATGAGAGTGTTGAATATAATAAAAAGTATCTTGAAGGCGAGATAGATAACCCCAGAAAATGTGAAGAAGATGATGCAGTTTGAAAATTGGAGGCACTTCAGCTTTCTATGCGGCAGTTTTCTATCTGATTGACTTTTTGATACACAGTGTAAGTAAGGACTTTTAATATGTCTTTAGCATGTAACGAGAGGTATAATCGAAGATCTTTTACTTCGCTTTTCTTAATCTGAAGGTACTATTGTTAAAAAGTAAAGCTATAGATAGAATCACTATACGATTACTAGAAGGTATTATAGTAATAGATGCGAGTAAACAATAATATCCCTCATACCTCACTGTATATAGCTTATAGGATATATACATAGGTAAGTATTAGGCCTATATTTAGGACTTTCCTGTACCCCTTGTTCTAACATCCTTTCTCCCTCCCAGGATCCATATTCATGAGCTTCAATTGAGTTGCTTAGTCATAAAACAAGTGAAATCTCGATTGGTCTAGTGGTAAGGATACCTGCTTGTCATTAGTCGATCGTTCGACAAATTCCAAACGCAGGTGGCCGGGGTTCGATTCCCCGATCGAGAGATGTATTGTTCCTTTTTTATAAAAATCTTTTTATCTCTATTACGTGTTTGTCTATCCATTTGCCTCATATTAGGGCATAATATTCATGTGCCGAAATCATGAATGGAGCTGTACTGGTTTGAAATATAGTCACCAAGGCGGAAAGGACGATATTTTCCTGAGGGTTCGGAGGGCATCGAAGGCTGAATCCAGAGACCACGTGAAATGCCATCAGAATGAATCATAGTAGGCGGTGGGGCGAATGCCCTAATCGACCCTGACTTGACAGTCATAATAAGATAAGGCAAAGTGCATGAATTATCAACTCTGAAGTTCATTGAATAAACACCGTAACAATGGAAGAAGAACCGCGCCATGCCATTGTTTTCGGTGCATCAGGTCTTATCGGCTGGGCTGTCGTAGACCAGCTGTTACGCGCGTATCCCACGGCAGGCGCTTTCTCGAAGATCACCGCCGTCACAAACCGCGAAGTTAAACTCTCCGAGTCCTATTGGCCCGAGCCAGGGGCAGGCCGCCCAGATTTGCAGCTCATCTCGGGCATTGATCTTCGTCGTGGTGACGGGACTACCTTAGCCAACTCTCTACAGCAAGCGGTGGAAGATATTCACACCATCACTCACGTGTTTTATTTAGGTATATGAAATTGAGAGTGAATTTCAGTCGTATATGAATTAATGAGTCTAAGTTTTCACTTCGGTCCCTGATGATGTCGAGGAGGTCGCGACGAATAGGCAGATGCTTCAGAATGTCATCGATGCGCACAATTTGCTCAGTCCCAACCTGCAATTTGTAGTATTCCCCGGAGGAACACGCGTATGTACTCTGGGTCTTGAATATTGCTTTCCGTCTGCTAATGGAGGTTTAGGGCTACGGCATTTACTCCCCTGGAGGCGTATTCATCCCTCCGCTGACCGAAGACATGGTGAACAATCTTCCACCTGATTATGCGAAGACTGTCGTGTATCCTGCGTATCGCGAGCTTCTCAGCACGGCAAGCAAGGGGAGGAAATGGACATGGTGTGAAGTTTGTCCGGATGCGATAGTGAGTATGCCTCTCATTGTACCTAAGCATAACTGACGTCGACTAAGATTGGGTTCACCCCCAACGGCTCGCAATTCAGCCTAGCACTTCATTGGGCGCAGTACCTATCTCTATATGCTCATAAAAATGGCGTCGGACAATCATCCAAGCAGGATGGAACAGCTCCGGTCGAGGTACCGTTCCCTGGTAACACGGCCGGCGCGAAGTCGTTGTTCTCCCCAGTATCTGCTACGAAAGTCGCGCGCTTCATGATCTATGCTTCCCTCCACCCCGATGTATGTGGTAGCGGCCAGCTATTCAATATTGCGGATCACGAGACGCCATGCACGTACGGCGAGATCTGGCCTCGGTTGGCTAACTGGTTCGGTCTAGTGGGTGTGGGACCCCCTGAGGACTCACAAGCGCAGATTAATTCTCTGAAGGTTGGCGAGCTTCCTAAAAGCGATCGACACCTCACGCCTGGTGAGTATATCGTGAAACACAGGGACGTTTTTACTCAGTGTGGACACACGAAAGCTGTCGATGGGGGCGTTGGAGCCGGGAGTCAGCAATTGGATAGTGTTGGCTATTGGCTGACGTTCGACAGGCAGTTGAGTATTGAGAGGCTGAAGAAGACGGGATTTGAAGGAAATACTGATCCGGTTCAAGGTTGGTTGGATAGCTTTGAGATGTTCAGAAAGGCCGGGTTAATTCTATAATGCTCTACAGAGCGCATTCGGGATTAGTAATGAGTGCTAAACAGCCACGCCGTTCCAGTCACAGATCATTTATGCAATGTATCTCATTGATTAGTGACCAACATTTGGCCGCTTTCACAAGATACGGAATATGTTATTCCACTTGTATAATTGAACACGTAGCTGTATGAGACTATCTATGTTATAAATGATATAAAACACCTAATATTGGAGAATACTGAGGGTCTCTTGTAGCCTCAGGACTTGGTACCTAGTTTAACACATCACTGCAACACTATTGCCCTCTCAACTCTAACTCATCCCCCGCATGTTCTCGTAGGTTTGTAACGCTACTGTGGTCAGGGTGCTCTCCTGCGTGAGACCGGGAGTTCGTAAACCGGCTCGTCTTGTCCCGCGAAGACCGTAGCTGTTTACTTCCTTGCGTAATTTGTCTGAATAATATTGGAAAACTGGGGAAACAAGCAACAAGTACAATCGTGGCGTATTCTATCTCCCTAGATGAAATATAATGTTAATAACACATATTAGATTTATATGTTGACAACGCTACTTACGTCCAATATGCGAAAGGCTCTATCCGATACGTAATATCCTTGGTTCTTGATAGGTCTACCGTATAAACGAATCGAACTATACTCGCGATTATAGCACTAATATGGTGTGTTAGTATATCGCTACTAGAGTTATTATTTTAATTTGTTTGAAAGATAACGTACAAGAATCCAACGGCGAATATTGCGCCGACTTTGGTTTTAGTTTTCTGGGAAGCTTGGAGGTTTCGAATAGTAACCAGTGGCAGAACCAGAATAGCAATATCCGATAGAATATTAATCGCACTAGATGTAATCAAGGCCGCGTCGACATTGATACATCGGCCGCTCACTGTTGGGTCCCATATCTTCGAACGAGGAATGCAGGCGAGAATAAATGATAACGTCCAACCTGCATAGAAAATCACATTCAACCAAATGAGAATGGTAAGTCCCGTACGGCTGAAGCTGTGGAATCGATGTTGAAGAAAGATTGATTCTATTTGACGTAGAACGACGTACTTGGCGAAGAACACCAAAGGGCCGTAAAGAATTTCGACGTAGTTCATAATCTGTAAGAATCTTATGATTAATGAAATAACCCTTCGCTGTGCGAACCAAGCTGAAAAATATTATTTAACACTAACCATTAGAAGCTGAGTGAAGCGAGATAGGGGCACATTCCACTGATGTGTTCCCTGGCCATATCTCCCAGTTGTGATAGTAAGAGCGACATATGCAGACATGATTGCCTAAGACCACTTAGCAACATATTGTCGCTAATTTGGACTGACTCATACCAGTGAGAGTAGTAGGGCACCTGCTGAGTCTGAGTATCACTACTTCAAATTTGACTGAGTCCCAGTTATGACCACTTACAGTCATCTAGATTAAATTTCTTTAAGAACTTCACCCGCGCAAAAGTACGGGCTGCTACCGCGATTGCCGACACGGTCAAGGCGGAGATCGCTACGGCATTATGGATATAGTGAATAGAAGGCGGATTGATGAAATTGGAGGTCATACCCTCGGGGGGCTCGAGTGCCGGGATATCGGACAACTTCCCATTCATCTCTGCTCCGTGTACCGCGATATGATGAGGTTGAGATAATTAATACCCGCAGTAGCACATGCGCCAATACTCCACCAACGGCTTGAAGTTCAAGGGATATAAGATCTAGGACAGGAGAGATGTACTGTATTTTCGTTAAAGAAAAAGGCGCAAAATTATCAAGTAATGAGAAAAGCTACGACGAATACCACTTGGTATATTTTCTTTCGTTCGGATACATACCGAGAAGCGTGAATAAGGGGACCAAAAACACGCCACCTGATAGGACTTGACACGAGATCTGCTACTGCCTCCGGTAGCATATCTGTGTGTACACCTCCTGTAAGCTGCAGCTTATCTGCATGCGCATCTCAGCCGTTCTGTGGCAAGGGTTGGCGTCATCTCGGGAAGGTGTCTAGCTATGTTGCTGATTGGTCAATGATCTTTTGTCATTACTTAGATTGGCCTCAGTCTTCAGCGGGAACAGTCCCACCGATCGATATATGCCGGGTCCTCGTGGCCTGCGAATCCCACATTCCTATATTAATCCTTGTAGCATATGGTGTGCCGATGCATTGACGGGCTTGCCAATCCTCCTCGGCCGCCGTATCCGGATCCACAGACTTACTAAGAACAATATCTATACGCCTAGATCCCCTGTGCTATGAATCCTTCAACTTTAAAACGCCATGGCTGCCGTTCTCCCGGCTCGCCAGTTATACTTATCGGAGACAAAGCTAAAATTCCAAGACCTTCAACTTCAGTACGAACGGCAACCAGAAGGGAGAGAAAAATTCGACCTGGACTATAGAGAGATAGGGACTCTGTAGGAGCCTTGATGCAACCCCCAATAGATAGGCGCTCTTAGCGAACTACACCTACTCTAACTAGGTATTAGGTACGACTTAGTTGAGATGGCCGACGTGTACACAGAAAATATGACTCGCCTCCCGAGCGAGATTCAGAGGTACGAGCCCGTCCAGTTCAACGCTTCGGTAATTATTTTAACAAAGGCTGATAGGCTCGATCAACAGTTCGATATAATGACAGAGTATACTTCATACATCCCTATGCTACCTATTATCATCAACTAACGGCTAAGCAGAAATATCGGATATATTCTCCATCCGTCAGTTACTCTTCCATCGGCTCCGCACATTGCCGACATTGGAACCGGCACAGGCCGGTTTCTACTTCGTCTTCAACCAACCGTCCCAGATGCGTTCCTAGAGGGCTTCGACATATCCCCGGCCCTCTTTCCGTCCCGGAGCACGCTTCCGCCGAGAGTTTCTCTTGCGGTGTTAGACCTGAAGCAGCCGTTTCCTGAGAATATGCACGGCAAGTATGATTTAGTTCATCTTCGCATTCTAGTCGCAGCGATGCGTCCGGGCGACTGGGAGCCGGCTGTTCGCAACACCATGCGCATACTACGCCCTGGCGGGTACCTACAATGGGAAGAGTGCGAGTTCCTAAACGTAGAGTGGCTTAAGAGTACCCCGAGTGCTAGAGTAGAGATGACAGAGTACATGGGTGGCATGTTTACTGCGGCACTACATGATCAACTTGGACATGGATGGAATACACTCCCTGGGCAAATGCGAGCAGCGGGCTTTACCTCAGTCGTCAGCGATGTAATGACGTCTGATAAGGTTCCAGAGACGCGGGAAGATATAACAGCC